CTCTCTCTCTCTCTCTCTCTCTCTCTCTCTCTCTCTCTCTCTCTCTCTCTCTCTCTCTCTCTCTCTCTCTGTGGCCATAATCCCAAGACAAAAAACAAAAACCTCTCTCTCGCTCTCTCATGCGGTCGCCGATTGCGGTCAGGTTCATAGGCTAGAGTGTAATCCCAGCAAGTCTAGACAACCCAGAAACGAATAAAGCCTTTTTTTTTTTTTTTTTTTAATGAAAAGGGCTTAGTGCCCAAGGCTGATATTACCAATAAGAAGATTTGAGGCCGGGGTCCTCACAGTCTACTCGGACTCCCGGAGTGACCGAACTGAAATTGCTGAGAACCGGGCTCAGCGTCCCCCATATGATGATGATGATGATTAGTATATAAAAATTATAGAAGACTATACTATATCAGCAAATTCTGGCCTCCTAATCCTAGAACAACTCCTAGCCCTCCCTATACCCGGACACAACATCTCAGAGACAATGCCATCCTAACCAACGTCAACCAAGGTTGACCTGTTCTCGCCACCTGGACTATCCCCGGACACCCGGAGCCAAAATCCAATCAAACAACAGCGAGATCTAAGTTCTTCCAATTGACCGAAGGAGACCTAACCACGAAATGATCCAGTATCAACCCTCCGTTTCCACTGTCCATGCAACGAATCGAGGCGATATTGACGGCCCACTCTCTTTCGGGATAAAAAGCAAACCATCAACCCTCACGTCGAGCCAGCAGTCACATGGAGGGCGAGCAAGCTAAGTCTTGGCAACACGTAAAAGCGGCCAACCCACGATCCAAGACAAAAATAACCACCATAGGCAAAACAATCAACACGGTAGATCTCCAAGCGTGAAGGCAGCCAACTCAGCCTCTAACAGCACCGAATCAGCCACCACAAAGCCGCTGGCGAAAACCAATCAACTCAGCCGCAACACGAAGCAGAAGTAACCAGACGAGCCCGGCCAAAAGGAGCCGCGCTGTACGACAAGGAGAACTCGCAGCCGACCAAGAGTATTTAACTCAGCTCCTGCCATCGACCCCACTTGTCCACAACAACAAAGAGAACAACGTTCGCCTAAGACGACGAACTGTATCAACAACTACGTATCTCAAGACCAGAGGGGCAAAAGCCCTCCCAATCGTTTTACATATCTCGTCTATTGCGGCAAAAGGAGCCTGCGCAACAGTCTCCCCCACTCTTTCCACACACCCGACAAGACTAGTTGGGAATACCGGTTTGAGCCGGCCGAGGTCAGCCATAGCCGGGAACCCGTCAGGGCCCCGCGAACTTCCACCCCCCGCAAGCGCCCGTGCGCCCTAGTCAACCATGCATCGCTTCCGCTACGCCAACGAAGAGCTCTGGCTACGTGAGTCAACGCACATTAGCGCAGCTCCATTTCGCGATCGCCCGCCACCCACCGCCGCACACTAACCACTAGCAAACTGAACAACTTTTGCCTCAAGTTCACATCGAAATTCTTTACCCAATTGGAAATAAAAAATTAAATTAAAAAATAATAAAAAATATATAATAATATTATATATTTATATATATATTTTTGGCCTGGCTGGACAAGTGGTCCTGGACCACTCTGGTAGCCTAGATAACATGTATTATGTTTGCAACTTTGCACCTTTTTTTTGGTTGCAGGGACACCCTCTGTTTGTGGAGCAAATGGCAAGTACATTAACAGACAAAGGGATAATTGAGGTGGTTAATGGGGGAATATGCAGGGTTAAGAGTCAACTGAACCTCAGTCAGTTGAGCTTCTCTCACTCAGTTGAAGCTGTAATTACCAGCCGTGTTGATCTTCTGAAGCCACTGCTTACCTTGATCCTCAAGGTAATGGTCATTCCCTTTTCTTTTTTTCTTTTTTTTCTAATGTGGACCATTTCTCGGTCAATGCATATCTCTTTCACAGGGGCCATGCTAATTTTGTCTCTATTGTTCCAATTTTAACGGATGTTCAGAAGTATGCTCACGACCTGTGTTACCAAGTAAGCATACTTCTAATTTTGTCTCTATTCCATACGCATAAATCGCGAAATGGTCCAAACTCTGGTAACATACCGACAATCCGAAACAAGTCTTTTTTTTTTTTCTTTTTTTTTTAAATCCGAACTGAGTCTGTCAAGTTGAAAACCAACAATCCTCACCAAGTCCTCAGTTTTGCCAAAGTTTATGGGTATCCATCAGTGAATTTAGAATCCAGGTTAGCAATCTGTATACAGTAATATGATGCTATAAAAAGAATAGCACATGCATATCATCATCCTGATTCATGACAGCATACTATTGACTCTAGATTTAGTTTGGTCTCTACACCAATTGAACCGAGCAACCAGCGGTCCCTACTGAAAGGGGTGGCAGTACTGGTTCTTTTGTTGGGATACAGGTACTCCCTGTGTTTCTTGGGTCTGGGTGGATACGTCTTAGCGTTCATTGGCCTCAGTTGTTTGTTTGGTTTGCTTCGTGAGTTAATAGGATTCGAACTGTCGACAGTACCTGCCAGTTTTGAAGCTCTGCTCACTTTTTTGACTTGTAGTGTGGTGCCGGTAGGGCTCGTACCGTCGTTAGTACCTGTTCGACTTTGTGGATACTTCTTAGTGTTCGATGGCCTCATTTGTTTGCTTTGTGATTTGGTAGGATTCGAGCTGTTGTCAGTACCTGCCAGTTTTGAAGTTCTGCTCACTTTTTAGACTCGTAGTGTAGTGTTGGCAGGGCTCGTACCGTTGTCCGCACCCGTTTGGATTTTGTGTACCTGACCTCTCGGTTGATGTGTTGATTTGTTTGTTGTTTAGTAGTACGCAGGATTCGTACCATTGTCAGGTTATCTTTGTAAGGTAGATCTGACTAGAGGTACCCGGTTGGGTCCCGGACCAGCTGGGCCCGGTACCCGGTCGCACTGTTTTGTCGGTCTGTGCATGTTACTTAGAGTACGAAACAGCCCTATATAGAGTGTGAGTGCAAGACCTCTTACAGGACGGCCACTTCCCGCTTTCGCGGTGGTGGACGTAGGGTTTGTGGAACAATTGGAGGTTCTTAGTTTTGCGGATTGTCTATCTGCCGTAACTTTCAATGGATTGCACTTCTCTTGACTGAGCGTGGACTTGACTCCATGTCTTGTCTTCTCTTGACTGAGTTCGGACTTAAGTTGACTTTCTCTACGTTTAGAATGAGACTCGTTCACAGTAGGAAGGAACTGGTTTTCAAAAAGAAAAAAAAGATTTAGTTTGGTCATCAAGCATAACAACTTCTGGTTTGATGGTGCTCATATGGGGCGCTGAACCCGCTTTCTAGCCTGCTGGGACTGTTCCCCCAAGCTGAAGCCGGGAATTGGCCACGCTATCATCTGTGAATTCAGGAGAGAGATAAAGAGCGGAATAGAATTGAAGAAAAAAACAAAAGAGTGGAATAGAATTAAAAAGAAGAAGAATCACTGTCCTTGGGGACATCCGTTAAAATTGGGACGATATAGAGAAGAATTAGCATGGGCCCTGCGCAAGGATGGCATGCATAAATCGAGAAACGGTCCAAATTTTTTGGGGGAAAAAAAAAGAAGATGAAGAATCACAGAAGTTGATGCCAATGTCTTCCCCGTCACTTCTTCTCCCTCTCATGTTCTTCTTTCCTCCTCCTTTTCAAATAATCAGTTAAATACAACAACAAATGAAGGGTTGCAAAGGAATCATGTGTGATTATTCCCCCTTACGGCCAGCACTCAAAAAGCCCTCTTTTCAGCCATGAACTCACTTCTTTTCTTCCGGTTCCATCTACGACTATGGCGGTTCGTCCATGCTCATCCCGGATGCCCAAAGGACAACGGCAACACTGCTATGCCTTTCCATCTCATCCTGCCATAGCCACACTCCCCCGCCATAGCCACACTCTGGGATGGTGCAAAATCAGCCGGTACCTGCACAGGGGCTTTCTGGATGCAGCACTAACCAAGGAAGTGAAGGTCAAGGTTAACCATAGCCAAAGGTGACACTTCCATGTCAGTTCCTATTACAGCCTTCTCTCACCCTTCTCCAGAATCTGGAATCAGGCACTTCACCCTCTGCCTCCATAGCCCAGGCCTACTACCCATAGGACTACTACTCCATAGCCATGCAATGCAGGGCCATTGCAGGCCGCCACCAGGCGGTGCACTAGCATTGATTTGTTCTGAACAGGAGCCAATGATTACAAATCTTATTAACAACAGAATTTAGCGATCCAAGTCAAAGATTGGCAATATATTATTTTGTTATTGCAATCTTTTTTCCTATGCAAAATTTTGATTGAAATTTGATCCAGCTTCAGCTTCAATAGGCTTTGTTTGTCACAAAGAGAGTTCTGTTCGCTCCCGCCTGGTTGTTACTTTCGTTTGGCTGTGGAGGTCTTCTTCCTTGCCCTCCATCCTGTCTCTTATACACATCTAGATGTGTATAAGAGACAGGGCTTTGTTTGTCACAAAGAGAGTTCTGTTCGCTCCCGCCTGGTTGTTACTTTCGTTTGGCTGTGGAGGTCTTCTTCCTTGCCCTCCATCTCCGCCGGTCAGGACGGGCTCTGCTTACCTTCAGCATGACTGCCGGCAGTGTCGGGTAGGATACCGCTGCACTCAATGCACCTGAATGATGTAGCCTTGCCATTCGGCCTTCGGCCTCACTTTGCCCGCGGTACTACTGCCTCTCCGGTGTGCTACCTTCCTCCCCCGAATACAACGTATGGTCATTATAGCTGCATGTCAAGTATTTGGTGTATCTTTCAGTCTAAATACAGACAGCTATAGTGACCGTACGTTGGATTCGGGGGAAGAAGGTAGGCATGCCGGAGGTTCCTGCTTTTGGCGGGAACATCATTGCAGCCTGCAATTCTACTTGAAGTTCAGGGCCTGTGTCTCACCTACCCACTATTTAGCTATGGGCCCTGACTACTCGTGACCTTCTTGGAAACGGGTGGATCACTCTAAGCCTACCCCACCTCTCCTGGGCCCACCTGAGTTGCTGGGAAATCTCTACTGGGTACTAGCTTATGTCCCTGTCTGTCCTGGCCTTCCTAGAAATCCATCCAGCATCCAATTTCAGTCCTGTCCCTGCGGTTCCCCAATTTCTAAACTACCCCTTCCTACTACACAGAAAAGACATGGCAAGGACACAGTTTCCACTCCGCATAGCAATCATCACACAGGGACATAGGGCCTCGCTCCACTACTCTTGAAATACACAAAAGCCAGAGTTCATGGTGGTGTATCTTTCCATGTTCTAGCAGAAGATTCACTCTCGTTTTGCACATTTCGAGAGTAGTGCAGCGACGTCCATAGACACATGCAAGCAAACAGCAATCTTGCACGGAACAACAGAAATCTCTCAGCAAATCAAACCATCTGGGCAGCGATACTTGGAAAACAGCATAAATCTCGGACTGATTCTGTGTGGGTCTTTGTGCCTGTAACCAACCCCATGTGGTCAGATAACTCAACTCATACACTCTGTAATACAGACATGTGACTGTTTATAAAGAGGTCATGAGTTAGAATCCTGCCGGAGCCGGATGCATACAACAAGTTGTTTGTTTCAGACTTTTTTGTTTGTTTGTTTGTTTGTTTGTTTGTTTCTGTTTCACAATGGCTGATACTGGCAGGTGGCAAGTGTGATTGGTTCGACCTTTCACACGGAGCTACTCTTAAGCGTTTTGAATGTGCAGTTACAAAGGTAATCTTTTTTTTTTTTTTTTTTTTTTGAAGCCTAAAAAGGCTAATTCAATTACCTGTTGAACCTTTTTCTTTTCCCCAGAGGAAAAATACAGAGAAATGGCAGCCCTTGAAAGTTGAACCCCTGGGGCCAAGTCCCACTACCGCATGAAAAGTTTTGGTTCCTTGCACTGTGCGGCCCAGTGCGACGGTTGGACGAGAAGGAAAAAGAAAAAGAAAGTCGTGTGGGGCATACCGTGGCAGTTGGAGGGTGAGGGTCTTGGCCGGGTCGACTCAATGCCAACCATTAAACCACCAGTACTTGGCCCATACATCGGCCGCGGGCGTTTCCCGTTAACGCGCCGCGACTGATGGGCTTCGGCCTACCGGACCACAATGGCTGGAGGCGGCAGCCAAAAGAAGGACGAAACGACACGGCAGCGGCTCGGGAAAACTTGGCGCGCAGGACGTTTCCCGGCTCGGCATCAATAGCTGGGCCAAGTACTGGTGGTTTAAAAGACTTATATTGGGAATAGACGTTCCATGGCAGCCTTTGGCACTGGAGCAGATCCGTAGATTAGCCCCTCCCACTCTTCAACATATTCATCCCCTCACTTGGGTGGAGGATCGTTATTGGACCATACCAAGACAAAGTGCAAATTCAAGAAGGGTGGGGCCAAAAGGAGCAATCATAAAAGACTTAGTACTCAATAACTTCTGGTCAGACTTGCTGAAAACATGGTGCAAACCTCTCATCCCTAACAAATCTCCACCTTCTAGATATGAAGAGGTCCTCAGGCAGCCTATTTTTGGCAATAGGTGGATATCAGATTCAAATGGTAGAGTTTATCTTAGTTCCCAACCCCCATGGTCAACCTGGGTTAAAGCAAGTATACTTGGAATGAAGGACTTGTGGGATTCACGGAACAAATGTTGGAAATCAGTGGAAGAACTGAAATAAGAGATTAAATATGTCAGGAACTTGAGTAACAATCTGGACCATAGTTGCGGCGCACGTGTGCGCTGCGCTGTGCGCGCCAGTGCGTTGTGCGCTGTGCGCTGGTTTAGTTGCACGCGCACTGTGCGTTGTGCGGTGCGCGGTATGCTGTGCGCACGCTGCGGCCTGTGCGCCATGTGCGCAGGAAAAAAATATTAAACATGGCACCCTCCACCCCCCCCCCCCTCCTCCCTGCAACCAGCCACCCCCCACCCCCTGCAACCAACCCCCTCCCCACCCTGCGCTGCCCCTGCTTTTTTTTCCTTTCCTTAGCGTATCCCCCACTTTAGTCTTGCGCCATCCTCTGAGAATCGGATTGCTTTGGTCAGTACTAAGTACGGCCATTCGTCTTCTTTTTTTTTTTTCTATTTTTTTATTTCTTTTGAATTACAGACAAATCAGAGGGGTGGGAGGGCTGCAAAGTTGCAAAGTTGCAAACACTCACCTGCAGTCGGAGGATGCACGTACCAGCGACGGCAGTCAGGGCATCCGTCCAACGACGCGGCAACATGGCATCAAAAGAACACATTCGACACAACAATGAATTCGCAGTGCAACACCCACAACAAAGAATGACGAACACAACAGAAAAACAGTCAATCAAATCCAATCAACGATCCAATCACGTAGATATTCGTACATTGCGAGAACAAAAATAGCAGTTTGAAATTTGGAAGTTCAAAGCTTCATGTTTAAAAGACGATCATTGTCATAACGCTGCACTTGGAGCATCAGATACCAAAAATCATAGATCGAACGGCTTCCCTCTACTCAGCCTCTACCCAATCTTCCTCCTCGTCATCCTCGAATTGGGCCTCTCCCTCACTTCCTTCTGTGTCTGTGCCTTCCATCCCACTGGTCTGAGATGATGAGGGAGACGATGAAGAACTTGAGTCCGTGGACGTGGACGAGCCTTCAGGTTCGTCCTCTTCCAGACTTTCTTCGGGGACATCCACCTCGTCGTCGTCACTTACAACGACAGACTTCTTCGCCTTCCCTCCACCTGCGCTCTTTGTGGCGGCTTTCGCTGCCGCTCTGGCTTTGGTCGCTGCGGCTTTGTAAGCAGCAGCCTTTGCTTCAGCTGCTGCAGCAATAGCCTTGTCTTCAACCTTCTTCACCCTGCGTGCCGCCTTTTCTGCCAAAGTTGGACGGGCCCTCTTCGGTTGTGCCAGGTATTGATGGTTTAAATCAAACTTGTTTTCTGTCGCTTGCAAAAACCAGGGCGGATACCCTTGTAAGGGTATTCGCACCGACACTGGAATGTTTGTCGATGGCGGAGCACGAGGCGGTGGAGCGCATCCTCATGGGCCGCAGGGCATTTCTGACAAGTGAGCTATATTGTGCTGCAGCCTTCTTGGATCCTGAGCATCGGATGCACAACGCACAACGTGATCCGGAGGTTCGTGTCGGGTTCAACATTTGGTTGTACTCTTGGATGCCACGGGGACGACGCCACGAAGTGAGCTCCAAGGTTGATCAATGGGTCAGTGCTTTGGGAGGGTTCTTGATGGAGCAAGCTCGCGAACAAACCAGCCACCAACCGCCAACTTTGTGGTGGGAGGCGTTCGGCTCTAAGCACGACCTCCTCGCACCATGAGCGATCAAATTGCTTGGCCAGGCAAGCTCCTCTGCCGCTTGCGAGCAGAATTGGAGCTTGCATGAGCTAATCTATGGAAGGAGGCGGACGAAGCTGTTGCCAGAAAGGATGGTGAAACTGGTGTATATCAGTTCGAATGTTCGGCTGCTCAGGAGGAATCAGCGTGGCGAGGGGGATGCTACCCACATCCCATGGGCGGACGACGTCCCGGTGGACAAGGAGATGGAGGAGTGGTATGTGCAGTGGTTGGAGCGGGTCCATGAGGATGTTGTGGAGGCAGACCGCGATGATGAGGGAGACGAGATCCCGATGCGGTGGACTTTCCTACGGAATGACGAAGTTGACGACATACTGGTTGAGGAGGAGGATATTCTACTCGTCGGTACGAGGCAGCGCGATTGGCACGAGTGCACGAAGCCTGGGAAGCACCATGAGCAAGAGTTGCGCAGGAGATCTGGTTGCTAACTGCCCAGGCCTGGAGAGTTGTACACGGAGGAGGGTTACGCTCTCGCAATGGAAGCGCGACTGGCAGGCACTTGGGTGCAGGGCCGGGACGAGGCAGCAACAAAAAAAAGAGGGAAATCCAAGGGCAAACAGACGGTGGAGGATGACGATGCGCCCGCGCAGCGTGGGAAGAGGAAGGCTGTTCAGCAATCCGAGCCTCGGTCGACCGGTACGTCGATCCGTGCCGAGGCTCGGACTACCGGGCGCAGGCATCCCGAACGTTGACGTGAAATGCACGAAAAAAACGGGAAAAAAAAACGGAAAAAAAAAAACAAAAAAAAAACGAACGGGATCATTCCCGCTTTGCGTCGGAAATGCAAAGCGGGAATGAATCTTACCGCTTTGGCAGATAGATAGATAGATAGATAGATAGATAGATAGATAGATAGACAGAGAGAAAGAGAGAGAGAGAGAGAGAGAGAGAGAGAGGGGGGGGGGGGGGGGGGGGGGGGG